TTCCATAGCGCTCTTTGACACCTCTGCTCTATTGAACAGCTGATTCAACAGTCTCTCACTTCCATAGCGCTCTTTGACACCTCTGCTCTATTGAACAGCTGATTCAACAATCCCTCACTTCCATAGCGCTCTTTGACACCTCTGCTCTATTGAACAGCTGATTCAACAGTCTCTCACTTCCATAGCGCTCTTTGACACCTCTGCTCTATTGAACAGCTGAGTCAACAATCCCTCACTTCCATAGCGCTCTTTGACACCTCTGCTCTATTGAACAGCTGATTCAACAGTCTCTCACTTCCATAGCGCTCTTTCACACCTCTACTCTATTGAACAGCTGATTCAACAGTCTCTCACTTCCATAGCACTCTTTGACACCTCTGCTCTATTGAACAGCTAATTCAACAATCCCTCACTTCCTTAGCGCTCTTTCACACCTCTACTCTATTGAACAGCTGATTCAACAATCCCTCACTTCCTTAGCGCTCTTTCACACCTCTACTCTATTGAATAGCTGATTCAACAATCCCTCACTTCCATAGCGATCTTTGACACCTCTACTCTATTGAACAGCTGATTCAACAATTCCTCACTTCCATAGCGCTCTTTGACACCTCTACTCTATTGAACAGCTGATTCAACAATTTTTCACTTCCATAGCGCTCTTTGACACCTCTACTCTTTTAAACAACAAACAAACAAAAAGACCGTACGCCCTTAGCAACTATGATAAAATTGCTGAGGATGTTGTAGTCGACTGTTCTTCAAAATAAAACTTTGGGTATTTTCATGTTAAGTTACACACAAACACCAATTGTTCCATTACTTATGAGTTCCATATTTATTGTTTACAGCAACTTAAAAACATACAAACATTAAATGTTGAGAAATTATGCTTTTATCTATTAAATATGTTAATAATATTAGAAGAACAATTATGCTTCTTTTGAAATATGAATTTGACATACCTATACTATGAAACAATTTGTGTCTATGTGTCTCTTTGTTTGTCTCTGACGAAGATTTCCAATTTATCGATCTGTGATCACCATGAAACTTTCCAACGTAATGCTCCAGAGGGATTCTAAAACCCTCACATTGCTCATTTTACCAGTTTGACAGTTATTTTAACCTATTCTGAAACTATCTTAGCGCCGCTCACTGTTCCACTATTCACGTGAGGCTAACGAAATACATGACACCACTGGAGCGGGCACTTTTGCTATTTTATATAATGATTTAAATTCTCGAGACTTGGTATCAATCACTTATTTTGTGATTAATCCGTTGTAGTGTTAGCAATCAACGCAAACAAGAAGTTTCCAATCCATAACATAGTCCAGGAGTTACACATTAAAGAATACAAATACCTTCAATTTCGTATGCTAAACACACTATAAAAACTAAAGCACTATAAAGTTAGTATCTTTAATTAATAAACACAAACCCTGAAAGCTTAGCTTAGTAACCACACATAACGAACACTAGTATCTGAACTTTATATGGGAACCATACTTCAGTAAACAACGCAAGTACCCACAGTTTAGTCTGGTAACCATACTTAACGAACACAAGTATCTAAACTTTATATGGAAACCATACTTCAGTAAACAACGCAAGTACCCACAGTTTAGTCTGGTAACCATACTTAACGAACATTAATATCTAAGCTTTATATGGGAACCATACTTCAGTAAACAACGCAAGTACCCACAGTTTAGTCTGGTAACCATACTTAACGAACACAAGTATCTAAACTTTATATGGAAACCATACTTCAGTAAACAACGCAAGTACCCACAGTTTAGTCTGGTAACCATACTTAACGAACACTAGTATCTACACTTTATATGGGAACCATACTTCAGTAAACAACGCAAGTACCCACAGTTTAGTCTGGTAACCATACTTAACGAACATTAATATCTAAACTTTATATGGGAACCATACTTCAATAAACAATACAAGTATCCACAGCTTAGTCTGGTAACCACACTTAACGAACACTTCATTAAACAACACGAATATCCGCTACCTAGTCTCTTAACCACACTTAATTAATACAAAGGTCGAAATCTTAATCTGATAGACAGTTTTGATACTTACAACTATTTAAAGTTAATATGATAGTTATGATCCGAAAGCAGCAAATACTCTAAGTATCAAATATAAAACATACACATATACCAATAGTTTGTCTGTTATGAATCTGTTAGAAACGCTTTAATACACACAATTACTTAAAATTAGTCTGAGAGTCATATTTCGAGAACTAAAAAATATCCTACTACGTCTTAATCTGAAAAATCACACTTTGATAAACATGAATATCTGAGCTCAGTTTGGTAATAACACAACACTAACATACTCAGTTGGATCTAGTAGTCTCTCATTGATAAACGAAGCACAAACACAGCTTAATCTGGTAGCCACACTTCAATAACCACTTCTGTAACCATGTTTTAAAAAACACAAGGACTAGGCGTGGTTCTGTGATAAGCGTGCCAGCTTGTGAATCTGAGGGCCCACGGTTCGCATCTCGTTGTCATAAACTCGTGATCTACACTTTGGGGCCCAGGGTTCGTTATTAGAATGATGGTCAAATCCCACTAATCGATTGTAACCCAAGAGCTGGGTGTTGTTAACTAGCTACATTTCCTCTAGTCTATCAGTTCACAATTAGAGACAGCTGAGGCAAGCATCCGAAAAAAATTAGATCATACCTTCACAGGTTATTTTGGTAGACACACTTTGACAGATACTAATACTCACATATTGTCAGTAGCTACACTACACACACAGAGTGTAGTTTGGCAACCACGCTCTACGAAACACAAAACTCCACAGTTTATTTTGGTAGACACACTTTGACAGATACTAATACTCACATATTGTCAGTAGCTACACTACACACAGAGTGTAGTTTGGCAACCACGCTCTAATTAAACTCCACAGTTTATTTTGGTAGACACACTTTGGCAGATACTAATACTCACATATTAGTCAGTAGCTACACTACACACATAGTGTAGTTTGGCAACCACGCTCTAATTAAACTCCACAGTTTATTTTGGTAGACACACTTTGACAGATACTAATACTCACATATTAGTCAGTAGCTACGCTACACACACAGAGTGTAGTTTGGCAACCACGCTCTACGAAACACAAAACTCCACAGTTTATTTTGGTAGACACACTTTGACAGATACTAGTACTCGCATATTAGTCAGTAGCTACGCTACACACATAGTGTAGTTTGACAACCACGCTCTACGAAACAAAAAACTCCACAGTATATTTTGGTAGACACACTTTGACAGATAATAAACGCAAAAGATATATCTGATCTACCATGTTTGAACTTAAATACCCACAGTTTTGTCTAAAGTTGCTTAGAAATTCTAAAATCAACACCAACATCTTCCTTCCTTACGTACCTATATAAATGACATTAAATCTGTAAATTACTGTACAAAATAAATTTCAATATCTGCACAGTTCTGAGCCTTTGGTTTTCGCTTTTTTCTATTTTTTGCGTCCCCTGAAATGTAGTTTGATATTTATCAGTTTATAAATTAAGTACCACTTACTTTAGTCTGTTCGTTAAAATTCTGATTCTCGTTGTTTTCTCCAAAATGTTAAAATTTTTAATCTTTATATGCAATCTACAGAAAAATTTTGTGATGACAATGATGAGTTTTAACAAGATAAGATTATTCTTTTCATATCCAATTGTAGTTCGTTACCTCTTCATCATCTTAAATTATATTTAAACATTTGGAACATAATTTAATATATCCTGAAAATAGTTTTTAAAACGTTTTACCACAGTTCTTAACCTGGCACCTACCTGGTGTAATCCGTTCTACAGTAGACACTGTCTTCTCTGATAAAACAAGAGGGTTGACGGTCCAGCATGGCTTGACAAACAGAACACCTGAGGCACCGGGCATGCCAGGACTGACCATTAACTTTGAGCAGAAAACGGTCCGTAATAAGCTGGTCACAAGCACAGCAGTGTTCTTGTTCTGTCTGGTGAGGAAATAATCTGTTCAACTCTTGGTTGGTAAAACGTAAAGACAAGCATGTTCAATAAAATACAGAATACCGGAGTTATATAAGATTTTAAAGCCGAAAGCCGGCGAAATACTGGGAAACTAATAAGCCTAAAAACTCTTACAAAAACAACTTAATTGCGAAGGCTCTTAATCTGTCCATTGCGGCTCAAAATCGTAGGTGTATAAAAAATAGCATTTGAGACCTATCTTTTGTCTACCACAAGTCACTCACTGCCGAATAAGCTGTTCGTTTAATACCAGAAGTTATCAGTGGTAGACGAAAGATGGATCTGAATTGCTATTTTATACAGAACTCTGATTTCGAGCCACAGTGGAGAAAGAAGCGGGAACTTTTTAACCCTAAATTCGAACAACAACAATAAAAGAAGAGGACTACTTTTTTATTTTAACACACTCAAGAAGTAGGTTTTAAGTTATTTGTAAAAACACTAAACTCGACCAGTGTTTGTGCAGTAGTTAAATTATCACATAATTTAAACATTTTCACAAGTAATACATCAAGAAGGACAAGAAAATATTACACAAATATAATTTAAGATGAATAAAATAACGGAAATGTCCTCGTTCTGATACGGTGAATTTCTAAATTAACCATATCGTTTATCGTCGATATAGTTTCATCGCTCATAACTAAGTGAAGATATATTACAATCAGTGACTTGTATCTGTCTTCGATGATTTGTATATTTGAAAAAAAAATGTTTGTTCGTTGTAAAGCTCAAAGCTACAAAATGGGCTGTCTATGCTCTGCCCACCACGGGTATCGAAACCACATTTTAGCGTTATTAGCCCACTGACTTGCCATTGAACAACCGAGGGGCCTATTTAAAAGAGACATCACACACCATATAAAATAACGTAGGGTAAAGTTTAAATATAAGTGAATTAAAAAAAACAATAACTGAGGAATATTTTCACATTCTACCAAGTTACGAATCAACTAATTTCACATGTTACCTTCTGTCAACTTATTTATTGTTACTAATTACAGGAATTGGAATTTTTAACCTGAACGGGGTCTTATGTGCACATGGGTTAAACGGCTAAGTCAGACACAACCTAGGGCTAAGGTATAGCTGTTACTAATTTGAACTGTTGACAAGAGCATTTTCCGCCGCAAGAACTTGTCTAGCTCTTTGCTCCGAATATCAGAATTGACTATTACTTTTGATGACAAAGAACCTATTTTTAGATAATAAAGTTTGGAGATGACTTGAATGGATAATGAAGAAAACTTTATTACAAGTATCACATGTGGAACGTTTCGACAAGCTTTTGTCATAATAAGGTACAAATAGTTTATATAGACACAGGAATATGCATATGGTATGGAACAAAGAGGTCACAGTATTTCTATTCAAAACGCTGTAATTCTAAAGTGGGGAAAGACTAAAGGGAAGGCAGCTAGTCATCACCACCCACCACCGCTAATTCTTATGCTACTCCTTTACCAACGAATAGTGGGATTGACCGTCACATTATAACGCCCCCACGACTGAAAGGGAGAGCATGCTTAGTGGGACGGGGATTCGAACCCGCGACCCCCGGGTTGCGATTCAAGCGCCATAACTACCTGGACATGCTGGGCCAAACATCAACAAACCCAAAATAATAAAAACCATCTTAATTGAACAATATTCTTCTACTCTAAGGCAACACCCCAGAATACCAAGATATCTTTACTAAGCTGTTAAGCAATTCCGGTTGTGTGAACTCTTTGTTCCATATTACATATATATTTCTATGGCTACGTAAACTACAAGTACCTGATGATGACAAAAGATTGCCGAAACGTTGTGCACAACGTATTTGATATAAACTTTTCTTCAATATCTATTCAAGCCGTCTCCAAACATTATTCGCTATCACGTTTATAACACGCCCACAGCTGAAAGTCTGGAATGTCTTCAGTGGTATCACGTCTCGAGCCCCGGACCCTTCGGTTCGCAGATTACACTCCCAGCCATCCCTGGCCCGAAAAGAATATGTGAAACTCTTTGCTGATTTCGGATAAAAAAACTTTATGCGAATGTTTAACAACCAAACAATAACCAAATAACCTAGTAAGAGTTAGTGATGAAATTATAATTAGTTTCAGTTAAAATAATGCTGTGACAGGTACATAAAAAATGTGCACAAGTAAGAAGCTTCGCACTTGATTTTTGTCCCTAATCGAGGACACTAACGAGAGCTTTCCTTCTTGGGACTATCATTTGAAATCGAACACTTTTCCCCCAAATCGGTGTTATCTTCTTATATAACCCAAACTTTTAATCACAAAAACTTCTGAGTTTTCTAATACATAAACTGAAGTCCATACTTTCTGAGTAACGTACCTGCTCTATCCAAGACATGCTAGTATAGACCACATGGTAACGTACCTGTTCTATCCAAGACATGCTAGTATACACCACATGGTAACGTACCTGTTCTATCCAAGACGTGCTAGTATACACCACATGGTATAATGTTATCTTTTGATATTCGAAGTTGATTATTAACCTTGATCCATTCGAATTATTTTATTTAGTGTGTAATTATGTGGGATTTTACAACATCTAATGTTTAGCTGATTGTTCAGTTCATTAATGCACAAGTTCGATAAGTGAACTCATTTGTAAAACATTAAGTTCAAGTTGCTAGTCACTGATTTCTGTTGTTGTAGTTGTTTTGAAAAATACATACATTCCATAAGAGTTACATTCAGACAGATTTTACAACACATTTATGTATGATGTTAGACTCCTGAACTGAACTGTGAACCATTGTTAGGCCTATGAACTTTCAGAACGTCAAATGCACAAATATGTTAAAATGCTTGGTAGTTGTTTCGATGGGTAAAATTAAGCCTTTCCAGCATTGTTTGTTACAGTGATATATCATGTTTTTTCTTGCAGTTATAGATGTACATTAATAGCATTTCGCATCTACAGAATATAACACTATACGTGGTAGTTGGGTAACTTGGGTGGCTAAAACTACCATATTAGACATGAATAGTGAGCTTTTAGCTCTGTGATGAGACTATTCGGTTTTCGACATCTCAATGGAGTCAGAATCCACCGGATCTCAGGAGCCGCGGTACACGGAAACTGTACTTGATATCAAAACAGAAGCTAAAATAACAGAAAAAACTCTACTTATAGCTAAATATAAACACCTTCTGTTAATGGAAATTCTCAATCATTAGGGAAGGATGAGGCTTAGTGGTAATTAATAATTATCGAATAAAAGTTGATGAAATGGGATTATTGTACAGTTCAAATTAACTTAGCAATTAGCAGACACGTGGTTTGATAGCGAGTGTGTTTTACGTATTAATGATCAAACGATTTTATCCATCTAAGATTGGAAAAACAAAACAAAACCATTCATGAAGTTTACTTATTTGTTATAATATATTTTTTTTTCTAAAAGGGTTGTTTCTGTGTACTTTCTTCATCAAGGTTTGTTCGAGTTACAGCAGTAAGAATATATTTTTCTTCAAACTTATCATCTAATCTCAAACACAGATATTTTGATTTTATAAAATAAGTATTATCAACATTTAATGGTCAAAGTCGCAACTAGTATATTCTGAACTCATATGAAAACAAAAACCATCAGTATATGTAAGTAAACGGATAAACAAATTTTCGAGGCGTTGACCACTTTTATAGAAAACATTATAGTCACAAATTTCAAACTAGAAAAACAAAAAAAAAGTTTTTGTTTTATTTTAACAGCCTTTGGAACGGTTGTGCCAATCCTCATGGCCATAGTTTTTTACAAGCTCATTCGTAAAAGTATATAACAACATGGCCAGGTGGTTAGGGCTCTTGACTCGCAGTATGAGGGTCGCGGGTTCGAATCCTCGTCCAACCAAACCTGCTCGCCCTTTCAGCCGTGGGGGGCGTTATAATGTGACGATCAATCCCACTATTCGTTGGTATCCCAAGAATTGGCGGTGGGCGGTGATGAGTAGTTGCCTTCCCTCTAGTCTTTCACTGCTAAATTAGGGACGGCTAGCGCAGATATCCCTCTTGTGTAGCTTTGTGCGAAACTCGAAACAAACTGAAACAAAACAATCTACCAGAAGTCTGACACAATCAAACCTTGTAACAAAGCCTACATAATTTTTAAAGTAAGATAACTAACTAAAAAAGAGAATTGGTTATTCTCCATTCTAAAGACAGGAAGTAAGTCTAGACAGGGTTGTTTCGTAAACGTTATATAAAAATTGAAATTTGCAGTTTACTTCTGGACTTCATATAAGAGGTGTGGATGTAATTCTGTATCACTCTCTAGATGTACGACCTTACAATCGAAATGTCGACAGGAGGAAATATTGCTAACAGTTCTAATGTTTAAAAAAAAAACATTTGAATAAAACGAGTGTGAGTTATTCTTATATTTATATATTGTTTTTATTTTGTTTGGGAATTTTCACGCACCAACAACTGTCCCTAATTTTGAACTGATAGGCTAGAGGGATGGTAGCTAGGCAAACAACACCCACTATTAATTCTCGAGCTTCTATTATCTGACTAAATATGTTCAGCATCACTGAGTTATAAATAAAACAACTGGAGTAATATGTGATAACTGGCAGTAATGGTTCATTCACCACACTGAAACTTATTCAATATACAGAATGTATATTGAAAGAACATAATATTATTATATGTGTTTTGATAATAACTGTTATCCGGCATTAATTAAACATGAAGATACAAGAAGTTTATGTGAAGATTTCATTGTGTGTTTAATAAACGTTTTGTAGCATGCTAGTTCTATCAGTGTTAAGTACTGTTAAATTAGTGAATCTCCTGACAACCAGGGAAACATTCATAACAAGCTTAGTATAAGTGATTTATTTTATTTTAGCAACATACTAGTTATAATTTTACTTTTTACTAACTTATTACAGCCCTCTGTATTTCAGTTTTCCAGCTTTCTTGATCTGAAAACCTTAACACTTCGGTAACACACACATACAAATAAATGCCAGGACCGTATTTCGCTTCACGTTTCGTTAGCGTGTTGAACAACAGTCTTTTGGGTTTCTCGGTCAGAAAATATCAGTACTACAATAACAAAACACATTCACGGCTTACTTTGAATATGAAGACGTTGAAGATGTTTTCCCTATGATCTGGTAACAGGGGCTGCGGTAAGGTAACGGGGTGAGGGGTGGAATTGAAACTACTCCAAAATGTGCTATAGCTTCCCCTGTAACCCCGCATTAAACGAAACGGTTACTGGTTCACTCCCTAAATATTACAGTATGTGTGCTCACAAGAAGTAGAGAACAACCTTCTCAATGTTTTGGCTAGCCTACCTCAGCTCCCTCACCAAGAAGAGGCCTGCCAGTTGAGGTGTTGTGTAACAGTCTTCCAGCTTTCCCTAGTCTGGTAATCTTAATGCATCAGTGACAAAAACGTTTCTCGGCTAACTTAAAGTCTGGAGCCGTTTTACGCCCTATGATACTTTGACGTATTTTGGTTTAAGATGCTGTTTGTCACGTTTCTATTTTGACAAGCTCTGTGAGCAGTGGTAATTATACAGCATTACATGACAACAAGGCGGCAACAAACACGAGGATCACGCATCATCTATTACTACTCATTAAGCCTCTTTTCGACGCCCGTCTTGAGCCTATTTACGCATTGCTTCCATTGTTTTTGATTCATTGGAAGCCACGTTTCTACCATGTAAGACAAAGCTAATCTGTACTCCCATCACGTGTCTTTGGAAGAATACAATTTCATTCTTCTGAAGCAGAATAATGACAATTTGTCAACTGTTCGAATATCGAGACTTCTTGGATGCATTAGTTTCATCACATTGGATTACAGTATCCTAATACGAGAAGAGTTAATGCACATCAAACTGAAACATTACCACTTTAAATATACATGTACATTTCATTTTACAATGTTAAACAGAATACGTTGAAGCTGTCTTACGTATTGTGAACCTAATACGAGAAGAGTTAATGCACATCAAACTGAAACATTACTACTTTAAATAATCATGTACATTTCATTTTACAATGTTAAACAGAATACGTTGAAGCTGTCTTACGTATTGTGAACCTAATACGAGAAGAGTTAATGCACATCAAACTGAAACATTACCAATTTAAATATACATGTACATTTCATTTTACAATGTTAAACAGAATACGTTGAAGCTGTCTTACGTATTGTGAACCTAATACGAGAAGAGTTAATGCACATCAAACTGAAACATTACCAATTTAAATAATCATGTACATTTCATTTTACAATGTTAAACAGAATACGTTGAAGCTGTCTTACGTATTGTGAATCATCTATTTATTTAACAATCAATTTACAATTTAATAAATCCTTTAAAAGGCAGCACACAGTGTTACAACCGTTTTTATATCAGTGCATTAATAAGTGTTTTTAATAAAGACTTGCATTCTCTCCACTATATTTTACATTACATTCATTTTATATACAAGGTTATTCAGTGTAAATTGATTTTACTCTTGCAGTGATGAAATTATTTTATTTAATAGAATAATATTTGTAACATATAGAAAGCATATCTACGAATTAAAATTATTTAAAAACATCTTTCCAATGTGTTAAAATTCTTCTGTTTTGAGCTGAATTTAAAATTTCGTTTAACGTCTCTCGGCCCTGACGTGGCGAAGGTCGTTAACGTGCACGTACTGTGAATTTGAGGATTCATTTTTCACGTTCCGTTGCCCTACACTTTGGGGCAGTGAATGGACTATAACAGTGACGGTAAAATCGTTTTATTAAAAAAAAAAGTGTAGCTCAAGAGTTGGCGCTAGGTGTGTTGGCTAGCTGCCTTCTCTCTATTCTTTCAGTTCAAAAGTAGGCACAGATATCTTTTTGTGTAGCTTTGCGTTAAATTCTAAAACAAAAAAATACAATATCTATGGCAAAAACACACACTTTTAACCCATTGACTGCTGATTCGCCGTATAGGGTACGGTCTGCCTCCGGCAGTTGAATGTGTGTGTGCCGTATACGATGTACGACTTGCAAACATTCCGCGCGCGTTTAGAGCAGCCGCAGTCAATGGGTTAAAGGTTGTATAAAAGGGTATGTCGACAGTAATTTATGTCTGAAGGAATATGACCAAAACGAGGACCCATATAATTGATAATGTCTTTGATTGCTGGTCTGTTTTGGTTTGAATGTTAGTATTGGTAATACAAAAAAAACAAAAACAAATATCGACATACGAAACACAACATCACACACAGTCAAGCATATTTACAGTTTTCTGTGTTGAGACTTGAAGTTGACGTAAATGTTAAAACAATGCAAAGGAGGCAAGTCACAGAAACCTTGTGCACTTACAAACTCACTCTTGGACGTTTTGGTATCGTTTAAAGTCAAATTAAACAGAAATA